CCTGAGCTCAGGAGTTTGAGACCAAATAAATAAATTCCATATTTAAAAAATTTTTCATAATCAGCTGTGTTACTTTTATATGAAAAAGTAAAAATATTTGAATAAGATAGATTCACCTATTTCAAAATCAGAAGGTACAAAAGTGTAAAATAAAAGTGTCCCTTTAATCCTTTTTCCTCCATGAAGGCAAGTGGGGTTCTAAGTTTATCTTTCCAGAGATATCCTATAAATACATGTTACTTTTGTTTTATTTTCTTTATTTTTTGAGACACAGTCTCATTCTGTTGCCCAGGCTGAAGTACAGTGGTGCAGCCATGGCACACTGCAGCCTCAACCTCCTGGGCTCAAGCAATCCTCCCACCTCAGCCTCTTGAGTAGCTGGGATTACAGTTATCACACCGCCATGCCGGGCTAATTTTTATATTTTTTGTAAAGACCGGGTTTCTCCATTTTGCCTCGGCTGGTCTCAAACTCCTGAATTCAGGTGATCCATCCCCTCAGCCTTTCAAGGTGCTGGGATTACAAGCCCCTGGCCCACATGTTACTTTTATAATCTGAAAAAAAACTTATTTAAAAAATAAACTGCACTTTGGGAGGCTGAGGCAGAGGGATCACTTGGGGCCAGGAATTTGAGACCAGCCTGGCTAACAGCGAAACCCCATCTCTACTAAAAATACAAAAAATTAGCTGGGCGTGGTAGCTGTGTGCCTATAATCCCAGCTACTCGGGAGGCTGAGGCACGAGTATTGCTTGAATCTGGGAGGAGGAGGTTGCAGTGAGCCGAGATCACACCACTGCACTCCAACCTGGGCGACAAAGGGAGACTCTGCCTCAAAACAAACAAAAACAAACAAACGTGGAACTCTGATTCTGTCAAGGTTAGTGAGGTCAACATAGGTGTTGCTGCAGCCTCACTGATAAAGTGTGAGCAAATGAAAGTATGTGTGATGCAAAGGACTTTATGAATTGTGCATGTACGTTAACTATAATAATCTTGCATGTTTACATTTCTTTCATGAAAGATATTTACAAAAGTACTAGGAAAACCAATATCTAAACCTTATGGGAAGGAAAGATACTAATTCCCTTAACAAATGCTTTCCGAGGTCTTTACTCAAAAGCTAAAGTTATCCATGAGCACTTTTAGAAGGAGAGGCAGAATTGCCATATACTCGCTGTAACAAAAGCAAACAAAAAAAAAAATGTATTCTCACTTTAGTTGTGAGTTTTTTTCTTCTTATTTTTTTTTTTTGAGAAATGCTGAATATATCCACATCTATAGGTAACTATATATTTAGTGGGTTTCTTTGCTTTTGATTTCATACTTAACTATAAAAACCTATGGTGATATTTGAGCAACTAATTAATTTGTCTCCTTGCCTAGAGACCATATATGAGATAGATATAAATAATGTTCATTAAAACCAGATTTTAGGCCGTGCACGGTGACTCACACCTGTAATCCCAGCACTTTGGTAGGCCGAGGCAGGCGGATCACCTTCAGGAGTTCTGAGACAAGCCTGGTCAACATGGTGAAACCCTGCCTCTACTAACAATACAAAAAAATTAGCTGGGCGTGGTGGTGGGCACTGTAATCCCAGCTACTCAGGAGGCTGAGGCAGGAGAATCACTTGAATCAGGGAGGGGGAGGTTGCAGTGAGCCAAAATCACACCACTGCACTCCAAACTGGGCAGCGAAGTGAGACTCCGTCTCAAAAAAACAAAACCAAACAAAAACACCAGATTTAAAAAATATGTTTATTATTGACCTTTTTAAGCTTAATCGAAAGTTTAATGACCTCTCTATGTACCTATCACCCAACTTCAGTAGTTATTAATATTTTAGTGTTCTTAAAATCTTATCACATTTTCCAAAACACTAAAAGTTGACACGTCTTTATTATTCTTCAGATTCATTATTTTCTTACTTTGTAACTTTTTTTGTAACTTGTAGATTTAGATTTGTGTTCCCAATTTCTTCTTAGACAATCTAACAAATTTCCATTCTAATGTAATTTAATGGTACACACAACAGAAACAACCTTGGGATAGAGTGACCCACAGTAAATTGGCCCGAGTCCAGTTTTCTGGATCTGTCCATACAGTTTTTTTTTTGACTGGATATTTAGAGCTGGCCCAAAAAGAAGATAAGGCTTTATCTGTCATTCATGGTGTATGGACTGTCATTATGCTATACTCAGGCTTGAAATTATCAGGATTTCTTAAATATATAGTCTTATATATTAGACCAACTATATATATGTATATATGTGTATATATGTGTATGTATATGTATACACACACACACCATCTTGTTAGCCCAGCTATATATATGTAAAATAATATATGTTATTCCGTGTTACTTTTATATGAAAAAGTAAAAATCTCTGAATAGGATAGATTCACCTATTTCGAAATCAAAAGGTACAAAAGTGTAAAATACAAGTGTCCCTCCAATCCTGTTTCTTCCATGAAGGAAATTGGGGTTATCTATTCTAAGTGTATCTTTCCAGAGATATTCTATAAATACATGTTACTTTTTAAAAAATTTTTTTATTTTTTGGGACAGCGTCTCATCTGTGGCCCAGGCTGGAATGTAGTGGTGCAAATAATATATTAGAATATATATCAGCCAGCATGGTGGCTCACACCTGTAATCCCAGCACTTTGGGAGGCTGAGGCAGCACTTGAGGTCAGGAGTTCGAGACCAATCTGGCCAACATGGTGAGACCCCGTCTCTACTAAAAATACAAAAATTAGCTGGGCATGGTGGTATACGCCTGTAGTCCCAGCTACTTGGGAGGCTGAGGCAGGAGAGCGGCTTAAACCTGAGAGACGGAGGTTGCAGTGAGCCAAGATCATGTCTGCACTCCAGCCTGGGCAACAGAGCGAGACTCCATCTCAAAAAAATAATAAGCAAAATACATATTATTATAATATATGTATAGTTGGGCTATATGTATATAAGAATATATGTGTATATATTATATATATGTGTGTATATATACACAATATATACAAGCTACCAACATGATATAAGAATATATATTCATATGTATATTCATACATATATATATGTAGTTGTACCTACCAACATGGTAAGCCTCTAAATTATGGAAATAATTACAGCTGCTGAATTAAAGCTTTTCAGACCCAATATAATGGGGTATTTTATCTCTCTTTTTCCAAATTACTGTGATTTTTCACTTGGAAGTTGTCTTGGACCCCTTTATCTCCCCAGGTCCCCACCTCTAGTCAGTTATCAAATTTCTTCTGTATCCATCTCTTTATTTCCTTGGTTATCATCTAATTTAGAACCCTTTTTACCTCACCACTGAATTACTAGTGTCTCTGCTCTCAAACCATTCATAGTGTGAAGCCAGATAAATCTTCCAGTAAAGACTGAGATCGTCCTTCCTGCCTATAGTTTTTCTTTGTTTCCCCACTATTTACTGAATTAAATATGAACATTCTGCCCCCCAGTTAAGACTGGTGTCCCAAGACCCCTACAACACAGTCCTAACTCATTATTCTAGTATTCTGTCTCTTTTTTTTTTTTTTTTTTTTTTTTTTTGAGATGAGTTTTGGTCTTATTGCCCAGGCTGGAGTGCAATGGTGCAATCTCAACTCACTGCAACCTCTGCCTCCTGGGTTCCAGCGATTCTCCTGCCTCAGCCTCCCGAGTAGCTGGGATTACAGACGCCTGCCACCACGCCTGGCTAATTTTTTTGTATTTTAAGTAGAGATGGGTTTCACCATGTTGGCGAGGCTGATCTCAAACTCCTGACCTCAGGTGATCCACCTGCCTCGGCCTCCTGAAGTGCTGAGATTATAGGCGTGGAGCCACTGCACCCGGCCTCTGTTTCACTTTTCTGCTTTCTGTGATACTATATTTCAATCACATTGAATCCTTGCTATTCCCTGAACATTAATTAATTAAACAGTTAATTCCTTGTGCTTTTCTGCTTTGACTCTGTTCATACTTCCCCTGTGCCTGGAATACCTTCCCTCCTTCCATCACTACCTTTCAAATTCCTCCTCTTCCCCCATGGTTCATTCTCAGTATAGTCTTTTTCATAATCAGAGAGAATATGTTTTCCTTTGAAGTCCACATGTACTTTATCTTAAGATTCTTCTGTCTTCTAGTCATTTGCATATTTGCATAGATTAAGATTTTTAGGAGGTAAGATAGGGAAATGCTAGGGTAATGTCTGTATCCTTGGGCCCCTTCAAGTGCCTACTGCAATGTTTGTGCTACCAGCTGAGCAATAAATATTTATGGAATTAAAAGTTAAGCTGTGTAACTTACAGAATTGAGATCTTCCTCTAGAATTCCTCCAAAATTCTTTTTTTTTTTTAAATGAAGTCTTGCTCTGTCGCCCAGGCTGGAGTGCAGTGGCGCCATCTCGGCTCACTGCAAGCTCCGCCTCCCGGGTTCACACCATTCTCCTGCCTCAGCCTCCTGAGTAGCTGGGACTGCAGGCGCCCACCACCACGCCTGGCTGATTTTTTGTATTTTTAGTAGAGACAGGGTTTCACCGTGTTAGCCAGGATGGTCTCAATCTCCTGACCTCGTGATCTGCCAGCCTTGGCCTCCCAAAGTGCTGGGATTACAGGCGTGAGCCACCGTGCCCAGCCACAAATTCCTCCAAAATTCTAAATATACTAGCCCTAGTTGGAATACGAAGATAATCCCCATAGAATTCACTTTCTGTCCTAGACCTAAGGAGGATTGGCTCACTCTTGTATTTATTAATTTACTTCTCTTAAGAGAAAACAAAAATTGTGTGCCTTAGTTTTTACCTTGTAAGAACATGTCTACAGAGATCTCAAGAGGAGGCCCTGTCATTTAACAGTGATTGCTTATTTATCTCTAAGTTTGATATGGTCAGTTACTATTATTTAAAGACATATTTTGGCGATTATCATCTGTTAACTAGAATAGTGATTAAGAAAATCCAGAATGTATCTTTTTCTATAAAATCAAATTTATTTTTCAGCATGTTTTTTATTTTGATGAAGTCTTTGGTGAAGCGTGCACCAATCGGGATGTATACATGAAGACTACTCACCCACTTATTCAGCATATTTTCAATGGGTACGATAATGATTATTTGCTTTTCTTGCTTTTTATTTTCTATTTTCTGTTAGGTCATATTTCTTTATAAATATCACATGCTTTTCAGTGCTTTTGACTTAAACATGAATTTGTTGAGCTAATGAATTTAGATTCTTCTGAAAACTTGCAGTATCTCTATAGGATTTACCAAGGATTTAGAAATTTACAGTAAAATTTCCTTTTACACTAATGATATTATTTCTCTGTGTCTAGTGGAAAAATATATTGTGATAGATAGTGAAAGGGTGTTAAAAAAAAAAAGAAAATTATAAACTCTTAACAATGTAATCCCATCAAAGTCCTCAGAAGAAAAAGGTTCAAGTGGTTGGAGTTAGTCTGAACTTTGATGATAGGAATTATGTATTCTGGCTATAGTTTAGTTAATTTTTCTTTGGAATCAGATAAGTGAATATCACTTATCAGCTTTTCATAGATTTATTATTATTATTATTATTATTATTATTATTATTTTTGAGATGGAGTCTCGCTCTGTCACCCAGGCTGGAGTGCAGTGGCGCCATCTCGGCTTACTACAAGCTCCGCCTCCCGGGTTCATGCCGTTCCCCTGCCTTAGCTTCCCGAGTAGCTGGGACTACAGGCAACCCCCACCATGCCAGGCTGATTTTTTGTATTTTTAGTGGTGACGGGGTTTCAACACGTTAACCAGGATGGTCTCGATCTCCTGACCTCATGATCCGCCCGCCTCAGCCTCCCACAGTGCTGGGATTACAGGCGTGAGCCACTGCACCTGGCCTTATAGATGTATTTTTAAATTATTATTCACACTTAATAAACATTGAATGGGACAGGAATTATAGTAAGGGCCTCTGTTGCATAAGTATTTAAAATATAGGCATGGGCCAGGCATAGTGGCTTGCACCTGTAATCCAAGCACTTTGGGAGGTCAAGACAGGAGGATAGCTTGAGCCCAAGAGTTTGAGACCAGGCTGGGCAACATGAGGAGACCCTGTCTCCACACACACCAAAAAATTTTTATTTTATTTTATTTATTTTATTTTATTTTTATTTTATTTATTTTTTTGAGACAGGGTCTCATTCTGTCACCCAGGCCAAAGTGCAGTGGTGCAATCTCAGCTCACTGCAACCTCTGCCTCTCGGGTTCAAGCAATCCTCCCACCTCAGCCTCGTGAGTAGCTGGGACTGCAGGTGCCTGCCACCACTCCCAGCTAATATTTTTGTATTTTTTTAGAGGTGGGGTTTTGCCTTGTTACCCAGACTAGTCTTGAATTTCTGGGCTCGAGCAATCCTCCTGCTTCAGTCTCCCAAAGTGCTAGGATTATAGGTGTGAGCCACCGTGCCTGGCTAATTTTTAAAATAAGCCAAGCATGGTGATGTGCACCTGGGGTCCCAGCTGCTTGGAAGGCTGAGGTGGGAGGATTGCTTGAGCCCAGGAGGTCAAGGCTGCAGGAGCAGTGATCATGCCACTGCACTCCAGCCTGGGCAACAGAGCAAGACCCTATCTCTGTCTGTCTGTCTGTCTGTCTGTCTATCCATCCATCCATCCTATCTATCTAATCCACCTACCTATCTACCTACCTACCTATCTAATCTACCTACCTATCTGTCTACCTACCTATCTATTAAAATTGTAGGCATGTATGATAGAAAATGCCAAGTAGCCTGCTAGTGTTGCTGATTCCAGATAATTTTGACTGTTTTTTTCAAATAACTTTTTAAAAATTGAGGGGTAATTTACATACAATAAGATGTACAGATCTTAAGTATTCAGATTCGATAAGTTTTGATAATTTTATATATGTGAGTAACAAGTATCTGTAACAAGACATGGAACATTTTCATCACCCCAGAAGGTTCTCTTGTGTCCCTATTTAGTTAATCCTCCACCCTCACCCCCAGGTCTTAAGTAACCACTGACTTACTTTCTGTCAGTATAGATTAGTTTTATCTGTTCTACAATATCATAGAGATAGAATCATTATGCTTATATGCTTAGCATAATGTTTGCTTAGCATAATAGTGTTTTATATTAGTACATGTTGTTAAATGTATCTGTGGTTTTCGTTGATGAGTAATATTCCCTTCTCTGAAATTATCACAGTTTGTTTTGTCCATTCTCCTGTCGAAAGACATTTGCATTGTTTCCAGCTTTGGACTTTATGAATAAAGTATTAACATTCTTTTTTTTTTTGAGATGGAGTTTCGCTCTTGTTGCCCAGGCTGGAGTGCAATGGTGCAATCTCAGCTCACCGCAACCTCTGCCTCCTGGGTTAAAGTGATTCTCCTGCCTCAGCCTCCTTAGTAGCTGGGATTGTAATCCCACGCCTGGCGAGAGCATTCTTATACAATTTTTTTTATGAGCATGTTTTCATTTGCTTTGGGTAAAAACCTAGAAATGGAATTGCTGGCTCGTGGGATAGGTTTATATTTATAAGAAAGTGTTTGGCTAGGCACAGTGGCTCACGCCTGTAATCCCAGCACTTTGGCAGGCCAAGGCAGGCAGATCACGAGGTCAGGAGATTGAAACCATCCTGGTCAACATGGTGAAACCCTGTCTCTACTAAAATACAAAAAATTAGCTGGGTGTGGTGGCAGGCGCCTGTGGTCCCAGCTACTTGGGAGGCTGAGGCAGGAGAATGGTGTGAACCTGGGAGGCAGAGCGAGACTCCGTCTCAAAAAAAAAAAAAGAAAAAAGAAAGTGTCAGTTGGGCTCAGTGGTTCATGCTTGTAATTTCACAATTTGGGAGGCTGAGGCGGGAGAATCACTTGAGCCAGGAGTTCAAGACCAGCCTGGGCAACATAGTGAGATCCTATCTCTAAAAAAAAATTTAAAAATTAGCTGGGTGTGGTGGCACATGCCTGTAGTCCCAGCTACTTGGGAGGTTGTTGTTTGAGCCCAAAGGATCAAGGCTGCAATAATCTGTGATCACTACAGTCCAACCTGGGCAACAGAGCAAGACCCTGTCTCAAAGAAGGGAAAAAAAGGGAGAATGTCAAACAACATTTCAAAGTGTTGTATCATTTTATACTCCCAACAGTAACATGAGAATTGCAGTTCTGCAATATCTGATATTGTCAGGCTTTGTTATTTTAGCCAATCTAATGGGTATTAAATCATTTCATTATAGGTTTAATTTGAATTTCTCCAATGCCTAATGATACTATACTGAGCTTCTTTTCATGATTTTTTTTTTTTTTTTTTTTTTTGAGACAGAGTCTTGCTCTTTTGCCCAGGGTGGAGTGCAGTGGGGCGATCTCAGCTCACTGCAAGCTCCGCCTCCCAGGTTCACGCCATTCTCCTGCCTCAGCCTCTCGAGTAGCTGGGACTACAGGCGACTGCCCCCACGCCTGGCTAATTTTTTCTATTTTTCAGTAGAGACGGGGTTTCACCATGTTAGCCAGGATGGTCTCAATCTCCTGACCTTGTGATCCGCCCACCTCGACCTCAAAGTGCTGGGTGCTGGGATTGCAGGCGTGAGCCACCGCGCCCGGCCTTGTTTTTTTTTTTTTTTTTGAGATAGAGTCTCACTAACGCTCAGGCTGGAGTGCAGTGGTGCGATCTCAGCGCACTGCAACTTCCGCCTCCCGGGCTCAAGCGATTCTTGTGCCTCAGCCACCCTAGAAGCTGAGATTATAGGCGTGTGCCACCACACCTGGCTAATTTTTGTATTTTTAATAGAGATGGGGTCTTGCCATGTTGACCAGGCTGATCTCGAACTCCTGGCCTCAAGTGATCCCCCTGCCTCAGCCTCCCAAAGTGCTGGGATTGCAGATGTGATCCACCGTGCCTGGCCCTTTTCATGTCCTTACTGGCCATTTGGATATCTTCATTTGCCCATTTTTTTGTGTTTTGTTGTTTTGTAAAAGCTATTTAATTTTTAAAATTTTATTAGCAGGCTAAAAATGTGAAATATCTGTTAGGTTTAATTTCTTAGTAAGGGCACCAAATCTAGGGAATACTTTTTGAGGAGTAAGTTTCTAATATAAGTTAGAATTTGAATGTTAAGACTTTAGTAATAACAAGAGTTGCAATTTAAGTGTATCCATTCTTTAAAGTATAATAAGGTTTTTCACTCCTGTATTGCTTTTTGAAAAAGCTCATCCCTAAATTGTTCAGAAAGTAAGTAGATGTTATTCTTTCCTCTTACTCTGCTGGATCTTCCTTAATGTGTTCAAATTTTTCTCCTGTAATTCATTTCCTAACTCCGTCTCTGCCAGTGTATTTATAGTACCCACACTGCTGGGAGCCAGGGTTCAAAAGGCAAAGAGTAGCTGGTCTCTGCCCCAAGCAACTTTCATCTAATTAACTCTCATGTCTTGATTCTCACATTTCCATGGTTTCCTTGCTTTTGTCATTTTACTCTTTCTTTGTTTTCTACCTCGCTTCAAATCCTTTTTTGTGTACTCATCTCTCTGCCCACCTGCAGCCTCCCCCATCCCTGTCCATGCTGTAAATCAAAGAAAATAACCCAGGCAAGTCTCAATCATTGTAGATTTATTTGCCAAAGTTAAGAACGTGTGCCCAGGAGACAGGTGTATACCTTTCTCCAAAGATGATTTTGAGGGCTTCATTTTTTAAAGGGTAAGATCTGAGAGCAAAAGTGGAAAAAATAATAAAAGGAAAAGGAAAAAAAAAATTAGAGGGGAAAGGGTGGATATTGGAGGAAGAGAAATATGTTTTAAATGTTTCAGTAGATAAAAAAACAAAACAGTTACATCCTTTTGAGTCTTTGATCAGTCTTTCACTGAATACTCAATTTTCATATTGGGGATTGGAGAAAATAGTCCTTCATGCTTTCACCTGTCTCAGTGAACTGCATTTTACATAAGATAATGTAGACAACAATAGGGCAAAGGAAGCAATCACATATGCATTTATTTCAGGTGAGCAGAGGGATGACTTTGAGCTCTGTCCTATGTCCTCCACCTGTGAAAATAAGCTGTCAATTGACATTGCTAGGGTGAAATTCAACACAGCTGTTTTAGGGTAACGGTCATGGGCCCTCAAAGAATTTCCTAGTGGGCAAAATGTGAGGGAGATAGGTAGCTTTTTATCTTTGTAGCGATCTTATTTAGGAACCAAATGGGAGGCAGGTTTGCGGGACGCAGTTCCCAGCTTGACTTTCCCGTTTGGCTTAGTGAGTTCGGGGTCCTGAGATTTATTTTCCTGTCACAATGCATAGACTTTTTTCTTGCTGCAAGCAGCTATATTTATCAGTAATCCATGAGATTCATGTTTAAGAGTCTGCAACAGCTCTAAGATTATGTTCATTCTCTACTTAGCACTACATGGGTGAATCTCACAATACTCAGATAATCTTGGTCTCCAACTCCTCATAAAACATACTGTGATTGACAGGCTGGTCTCCCAGCTCCATTCTCCACCTCTTATTCTGCAATTCTTCACACTCACAGAGGGTGTGTACGCACACATGTACCCACATACAAGAGCAGTGATTCTCACTTAGAATCATAGGACATCAAGACTGGAAGGGATCTTAGAAACCAATCTACTAATACTTAGAAACTAATCTACTGATAAAAGTGAAAACTGAAGCACAGAGGAAAGTGAGGGGACTTGCCTAAGTTCATATAGTTAGTTAATGGTATGGGAGAAACCAGAGCCCAGGCTTTTTTTTTTCCCCTCAAGATTTGGTGTGCCTGCTGCCATATTTGCTCCTGTGGCCTCTGCTCACGCTATTCCTATTCCACAGTGGAAGCTCTCTGCTTTTCAGCTTCTGCCTTCAAGGCCCAGTCCAATTCCTACTCTTGTGAGTCCTTCCTCAAATACTTTGCTTACATCGATTTTGCCTTTATCTAAACTTACTTAATTATGAGTGGTCACTACCATCCTGCTTATCACATGATCATCTATTATTTCTCATATTTAATTCTCTATTCTTTCACTAAATTTAACTTTCCAGATTAAGAATAGATCATCTCTAGGATCCTCTAAAGCACCTACCATGGGGTAGGAACTCAGTAAATGCTTATTGGCTAAGTGGTTTCTTTAAAGCTCTTGTTTCTTTATCTTCTAGAGTTGTTTCTCTTACTGGTTCTGTAAGAAAATTACTATAAGAAAGCTCAGGCTGGGGCATGGTGGCTCACATCTGTAATCCCAGCACTTTGAGTGGCTGAGGTGGGCGGATCATTTGAGGTGAGGAGTTCTAGACCAACTTGGCCAACATGGTAAAACCCTATCTCTAGTAAAAATACAAAAATTAGCCCGGTGTGGTGGTGCGCACCTGTAGTTCCAGCTACTCAGGAGGCTGAGGCAGGAGAATCACTTGAATCCAGGAGACAGAGGTTGCAGTGAGCCGAGATCACACCATTGCACTCCAGCCTGGGTGACAGTGAGACTCCATTTCAAAAAAAAAAAGGAAGTTTTGTGTACTGGTTTGAGAATGTTTTTTTCCTCTTCCTGTGTTTTTATAATGTAAAGTCCTCTTCTTAAAGGTTTATGTGTTTATAGCTGAATTTTCTCTAGGATTCTATGTTTGCATTTGACCTTTGTAATTAAAAATCTTTGGGTAAACTAATACTTCTCTTAATATGCATAAGTAATGCAAATTATCCTTTCCCCAGAGGCAATGCCACTTGCTTTGCTTATGGACAGACAGGTGCTGGAAAGACCTACACCATGATAGGAACTCATGAGAACCCAGGATTGTATGCTCTAGCTGCCAAAGATATCTTCAGGCAACTACAAGTGTCCCAGCCAAGAAAGCACCTCTTTGTGTGGATCAGCTTCTATGAAATTTACTGCGGACAGCTTTATGACCTCCTAAATAGAAGAAAAAGGTACTGAATATGAGTGGGAAGAGATAAATCTGTTAATCACTGTTTTAAGCCAGAGTCCTAGAGAATCACTGAATCATGGGCTTTAATGAGATGCTTTGGTACATTAGTGCCCTTTTGTGAAATGAGCCTCCTGCATCAGATACATATTTTCTAGCTGTCAATTCAGCTATAGGAAAATATAAATTAGCTTTTCATTAATATGTTTAAAGCGTTCAATATTCTAATGTCTATCAAAAGACTTTCCTTTTTATTTTGGTCTATGAAGAAGGCCATAATTTCAGGAAGTCAGGAAATCAACATGTACTTAAACCCCTTCCTGTTCTTTTGACCTATTATTATCCTGGAAAAACTATAAATAATGTTTTCCACTTTCTCTTGTTTTTCCTCTAAATAATCTTAGGGTAAACACAACAATAGTTTTCTGAAATCAGTAAGAAAAGAAAATCTTCTCATTAGAGTTGTGACCCTTATTAGGCTTAAACTATTGCCCTCGAAACATAATATAGTAATTTAGAAATGTATTTAGTAACTCTACTTTTTAAACACCTCTTGTATTTTTCTGGCTTGAAGTTTTGTTTAGGTTGAAACAGATGACTTAAACTGAGTAGGAGGCAAAACAAGTAGTGGAGGAAAAGGGAGAATAGGGAGGTTAGAGGGAGTGGGGGAGGTGGAAGGATTAAAGGTTGTCATAACAGAATTAACCAGATTTGAGACATTGGAGGAGTGAATTGAGGCTGAGCCTGCTGGAAGGCTAGGGAAACCTAATCAGCTTGAGAACTAGCCCCGCAACAAAGGTATCTAAGCCTCTATGGAGCTGTCCAAAAGGATGCACAAGTTTTGTGTGCTCCAAGCAAGCAGTGGAATGGGGAGTGGGGGAGCAGTTCCAGTTCAGTAGGGAGACCATGATAGGGCAGGCCCCCATTGTAGAGAATCACTAGGGTACTGAGTAGCATAACTGGAGAAGCTGTCGAGTGGCCTTAGGCAGGCCTCTCTCCTATAGACTATTCCAGTGAAAAGGGGACCTTCAGATATGCCACTTGAGATTGTATAGGTGTTCAGAGTTCAGTCCTGACAAGACAATTGCGAAATAAAAGGGTGCTGCTCTGGGGATGCTTGAGGAAGAGTTGCCTTTCTTTTTTATTTTCTTGGTGTTGACGTCTCGAATTAGCTCAATCATAGCTTCTCCATCAAGCTCCAGTGCCCTCATTAGGAGCCCTTTCCAGTCAGAATGCCCACTTCCCTTAAAGAACAGTTGCCATAGAATAAAAGCCATTGTGCTGTGTGTCTGTGCGTGTGTGTGTGTGTGTGTGTGTGTGTTGTTTGGGTGAAGGGAGGTTAGGATATCCAGCTCTTTCTGAACGCATTTCTTTAATGAATTGCCCAGATTGTTTTATTGCCCTGTATATTTGCATTCTTCAGTTGTAGCAAGGGTAGGCATATATTAACTCCTAGGTTTGATGCTTCTCTGAGGCTCACTAGGGAAGACCTATGCTTACTTTACAAGTGTCATGGCCTGTGGGGTTCATATATATATATCCATTTAATTGGCTAATGTAATCTATTTCCTACCTTTCTGGGGCTTCTGAAATGTTCTGGTCCATTGATGGTACCCTTTCCTGTTTTATGCTGTTATGCTGTATCCTGTTGATTTTTTTTTTTTTTTTTTTCTTTTTCTGAGGCAAGGTATTGCTCTGTCGCCCAGGCTGGAGTACAGTGGTGCCACCACAGCTCACTGCAGCCTCATCCTCCTGGGCTGAAGTGATCCTCCCATCTCAGCCTCCCAGATAGCTGGGACTACAGGTACATGCTACCATGCCCTGCTAATTTTTATTTTTTATAGACACAGGGTCTCCCTATGTTACTTACCCAGGCTGTTCCCAAACTCCTGGGCACAAACAATCCTCTTCTCTAGGCCTTCCAAAGTGTTAGGATTACAGGTTTCAGCCACTGTACCTGACCAATTTTTTAATAAGATTTATTTTCTATAATAGTGGGGCTTTGACAAGGGTAGACAAAAGTACGTGTGTTCAGTCTGCCTCTTAAACTGGAAAACAAAGCTTGAGGATCTTAAAATTAATTCCTAGAAGTAGAGGATAAATTGTTTTTATACCCTTGCATAAAAACTGAAGTACGTTTTAGGCTGTCCCTGAGGAATCTTTCCGGGATGGGCTCAGAGATTAAGGCCTGGGAAATATGTTCAGGAATGACATCTGGTCTCTAAAAGTTAGATCTTCCTTTTTTTTTTTTTTAAAAAAACAGAGATGGGCTCTTGCTAGTTACACAGGCTGTAACGTAGTGACTATTCACAGGTGCAATCATAGCGTACTACAGCCTCAAACTCCTGAGCTCAGGCAATCCTCCTGCCTCAGCCTCCTGAATAGCTGGGACTACAGACATGTACCACTGCACCCAGCAGCTAGATTCTTTTACTACAGAAGGCTGACTGTTTTAATAGATTTGTTTTCAGAGAGATCATGGGCATTGGTGAGGCTGTTTCCCTCCAATCCTTCTGTAGAGATCTGGAAAATTGGGATGAAGCATAGACTGAGAAAAAAATTGTTTTTGAGAAAAACATTCTTGTATTTTAAATTATGAAGTGGAATTCCATTCTTAACCCTAATCAGTATCTTGTTAAGGGGGAAAAATAATCTTAGAGTCTTTGATAGATTCAACACATGCCTCTCAGTGGATCTGGTTTAATGATGATGGTAGACCAAAACCATTTATTACCTTAAACGCAGACCTAAGGCATTCAGATGCAGCCCAGCTCTTCCTTGCTCCTTTATAAGGTGTATCAGGACTCTTTACATTGCAAATAAAAGAAAACCCCATGTATACTAGCTTAAGCATTTAGGGAAATCATTGGCTCAAATAACTGGAAAGCTTAGAGGACAGTCAAGCTTTAGCATTGGTTTACTCCAGCAACTCAGGGATGCAATAAGGACCCAGTTTATTTTCATCTCTTCATTCTGTCTTCTGTGTTATTAGTTTCATCCTGAAACCAACTCTCTTTGTAGATACAAAATGGCTTTCACTGCTTCCAGGGCCACAGGGCCATCTGCTTTCACATCCAGGGACAAAGGGAGAGCATCACTTTACCAGGCATCTAACAACTAGAGACCAGGACTTTATTTTGATTGGACCGGCAGAGATCCCGTATCCACCTCTGAACAAATCACAGTGTAGCCAGGCATACATCATCCACGGATTAGCATAGTTTAGATTATGTGCTTATTCTTTTAATTGTAGCCAGAGATGTTGATTTATTTTACAACAGTCAACAACCAACCCTGAATCGGGCTGAGGTCAGGAAGGTGGGGTTGGGAGGAGGATAAGCATCCATCCCACTCAAACAGAAAACTGCTACTTAATAGCGGAATAGCAGAATGGTTTCTGGGGAGGCAAGAACAAAGTCTGTTTTAGTAGCACCATCATACCAACCACATTCTTGCATCTGCAGGCTCTTTGCAAGAGAAGATAGCAAGCACATGGTGCAGATAGTGGGACTGCAAGAGCTTCAGGTGGACAGTGTGGAGCTCCTCTTAGAGGTAATTAATTCTTCCTTCTTTATTACCCCACCACAACAGTATAAGTACAGGGGACCAATTCATTTTGCTACTAAGCAAGTACAGTGGACTTATATTTAGGCAAAAGGCAATGACAAGCACACCATTTCACATCTGTAAAATGTGAATCCTTTTCTGAAAGGATAGTTTGTTTCTCTATAGGGTTGATGTCACAATGCCACGGTTAGTGGGAGGTAGGGCATGTGGGAGAACCTAATTCACTGGAAGGGTACTACTGGGACAGTTTCTTTCTTTTTTTGAGATGGAGTCACACTCTGTCACCCAACCTGGAGTGCAATGGCACAATCTCGGCTCACTGCAACCTCTGCCTCATGGGTTCAAGCAATTCTTCTGCCTCAGCCTCCCAAGAAGCTGAGATTACAGGCACCCACCACCACACCTGGCTAATTTTTTGTATTTTTAGTAGAGACAGGGTTTCAACATGTTGGCCAGGCTGGTCTCGAACTCCTGACCTCAGGTGATCCACCTGCCTCGACCTCCCAAAGTGCTGGGATTACAGCCGTGAGCCACCACACCCAGCCTTATTGGGCCAGTTTCAAATGCTGCTCATGTGTTTCTCTATGGCAGTGGGCTCTAGGAAAAGCTGCTGGAGATAAATATTTGTACTTTAAATTATTTTTACTTTTTTTTTTTTTTTTTTAGCAACAAGGGTCTTGCTCTGTTGCCCAGGCTGGAGTGTAGAGGTGTGATCATAGCTCACTGCAGCCTCCCACTTCAGCCTCCCAAGTAGCTGGGACTGCAGGCACATGCCACCAGACCTGGCTAATTTTTAAAAATTTTTTGTAGAGATGGTGTCTTGCTATGTCACCCAGGGTGGTCTCGAACTCCTGACCTCAAGCAGTCCTCTCACCTTGGCCTCTTAAAGTGCTAGAATTACAAGCGTGAGCCACTGCACCTGGCCCTTATTTTAAATAAGATTTTTAGTAAGTAATGCTATCACATGAGTTCAAAATTCAGAAGTGAAAATACCGACTTCCATTTCCTTTTCCAGAGCAACAAATTTTATTAGTTTTTTGTGTGTCCTTCCAAAGGAATTTTTCAATCTGCTTCTTTTATTAAGTTACTCTTTTATTATAATAAAAGTCATGCCTATTAAATTTAAACATTACAGAAATATGTAATACTTATTAAACATTACAGGATAGTAAAGGCACCTCTAACTTACTATACATACCCCACTTCCCCTGTTCCCCACTGAGCTATCCACCATCCACAGTAAAATATTTAATTTTTTTTCCTGTTCTGGGCATTTATTAATGTAAGTACAAATACATTTCTGATGAACCTTCCTTTAATGCAGTGTTCCTCAACCCTGGCTTTACACTAGATTGTTTGGAGCCTTTTTTTCCTTGCTTAAAAAATGATTTGGCTGGGCGTGGTGGCTCATGCCTGTAATCCCAGCACTTTGGGAGGCCGAGGCGGGTGGATCACGAGGTCAGGAGATCGAGACCATCCTGGCTAACATGGTGAAACTCTGTCTCTACTAAAAATACAAAAAATTAGCCAGGCGTGGTGGCAGGTGCCTATAGTCCCAGCTACTCAGGAGGCTGAGGCAGGAGAATGGCGTGAACCTGGTAGGTGGAGCTTGCAGTGAGCCGAGATCGTGCCACTGCACTCCAGTCTGGGAGACACAGCGAGACTCCATCTCAAAAAAAAAAAAAATGATTTAACCTCTTTTATTGTGAAAAATAGCACTATACGGAAAAATGCATAAAACCTAAGTATGTCCAGTGTAAAGAAACAAGCACCCTTATAATCAGTTACTCAGATCAAGAAATAGAACATTGTAGCACACTACAAACCCCGCCGTGTGACTTTCCAATAACACCCTCCTATTATCCTGATTTTCGTGCTAATCACTTTCTTGTTATTTGTTATAGTTTTACCACCTATGTATTTATTCCCAAACCATCTAACTTAGTTTTCATCTGTTTTTGAACTTTGAATGAGTAGAACTGCACTGTGTATTTTTTGGTGTTTTGTTTCTTTTGCTAAATGTTATGCTTTTCAGCTCCATTTAGGTTTTTGCATTTGGTTCTAGTTTTCTTCATTTTTATTTGCTATAGAGTGTTTTATCATAGGAATATACCACAATTTATTTATCTATTCTCTTGTTAATAAACAACTGGGGTTGTTTCTATTTTAGAGTTATTTGGAACATTGCAGCTGTGAGTGTGCTCATACCTGTGAGTGTGCTTATACATGTATTTCTGTACAGAGCACATGGGTTCTCTAGGATATATACCTAGTTGTGAAATGATTAGGTCAGATGATATGCTTTTTTTTTTTTTTTCCTGCAGACAGGGTCTTGCTCTGTCCAGCCCAGGCTGGAGTCCAGTGGCGTGAACACATGGCTCACTGCAGCCTTGACCTCCTGGGCTCAAGCGATCCTCCTACCTCAGCTTCCCAAGTAGCTGGGACCACAAGCATATGCCACCACACTTGGCTAATATTTTTATTTTTTGTAGAGACAGGGTCCTGTCATTTTGCCCAGGCTGGTCTCAAGCTCCTTGGCTCAAGCAATCCTCTCACCTCAGCCTCCCAAAGTGTTGGGATGACAGGCACAGTGGCCCATATTTTCAGCTACACTAAATGCTGCCAACTGTTTCCCAGAGTGGTGTGTATTCCTACAAGCAGTATACAGGCAATCCCGTTGCTCTTCATCTTGCAGACACTTTCAATTGATAGATATTTTGAATTTTTGCCAGTCTGTATGTGTTTAATTATATTTTATTGTGGTTTTAATTTGCATTTCCCTGATTAAGAATAAAATTGAATATTTTCTCATATTTTTAACTTGTAATTTGGAGTTCCTCTTTTGGGAATGCCAGTTTGGGTCTTTTCCTCATCTTGAGTTATCTGTCTTTTCCTTCCAATTTGTATATTCTGGATATGAGTCTTGTTGGTTATTTGTATGATAAGCATGTTGTCTCATTCTGTGACTTGTTTTCCCAGTTTCATCATAATGTCTTTTAATGCTTGCTTGTGTCCTCTTCAGGTCAATTAAATCAGAATCCTTCAGGAGTGGGGCCCGGGTGTGGATATTCTTATTATTTTAAATTAAAATGTAGTTCATATACCATAACATTCACCTTTTTAAAAGTGTATGATCCACTGGGTTTCTTAATATAATTTTCTTATTGAAATATAATTCAGATACCATAATATTCATTCTTTTTTTATTTTTTATTTTTGAGACAGGGTCTCACTCCTGTTACCCAGGCTGGAGTGCAGTGGTGTGATTTCGGCTCACTGCAGCCTCAACCTCCCTGAGCTCAGGTGATCCTTCCCACCTCAGTCTCCTGAGTAGCTGGGACTACAGGTGTGTGCCACCACACCCGGCTAATGTTTTTGGTATTTTTAGTAGAAATGGGGTTTCGCCATGTTGCACAGGCTGGTCTCAATCTCCTGGACACAAGCAATCCTCTCACCTCGACCTCCCAAAGTGCTAGGATTACAGGCATGAGCCACCGCGTCCAGCTATAGTATTCTTTTTTTTTTTAGACCAGTGGATCAGAATAGAAAATACAGTATCTTTTCTCAGCAGTTTAGCATGTTCTATTCAAGGACAACCTATTAAATGAATTTTTGGAACAGGGAGATGGAGTAGAAGCTTGCTGTGTCCACTCCATGCATTGACTTGGTATTGCAAGACCTCCAGGAATGGTGCATCCTCCCTGAGGGATTTTTTTTTAAGTATACAATTCAGTGATTTTTTTAAAGTATATTGGTGAAGTTATGCAACCATTGCCACTATCTAATTCCAGAAAACTTTTATCACCCCAAAATGAACTAATGCTAACTCCATTAGCAGTTACTCCCTATTTCTCCTGCCCCCAGTGCCTGGCAACCACTAATTTCTATCTCTGTGGATTTGCCAATTCTGCCCATATCATATAAACAGAATTATACAATATGCAACCTTTTGTCTCTGGCTCCTTTCACTTAGTTTATTTTCAGAGTTCATTCATGTTACAGCATGTATCAGGACTTCATTCCTTTTAGTGGCTGAATAATATTACATTGTTTGGATACCTCATTTTATTTATCCATTAACATTTGGGTTGTTTCCACTTTTTGGTCATTATGAATAATGTTTCTGTGAACATTCATGTACAAACGTTTTTGTGTGGACACGTGTTCCATTTTCTTGGGTGTGTGCCTAGGAGTGAAATTGCTGGGCCATGCTTTTTTTTAGGAAATGCCACACTGTTTTCCAAAGTGATTTTGCCATTTTACACTCCCACTAGCAGTATAAGGATGGGTATTACTTTAAAAACTCCCCAGGTGATTCTAACATGCAGCCATTGCAGTCATTCTTCTAGTATATCCAACAAGCCTGGCTAGAGTAAAAGGGAAAGGACTAGAAGGATAGACCGGGCACTTGACAAGCCTTAGCTTAGTATAGCTTCATGGTACACTCCTCCAGGGAGAAGTGTCTGAGTCTTCAAGCTTAAGGGACCAGGGAAAGCAGTCAGGTTTGGCACTGTAGAAGTGCCTCCAACGAATGCCAAAGTTCAGACCTCTCTAGCTGATTCTACTCTTGTTCTTTCCTGCCTTCCTTTTCACTGTGTTCTAATAATAATTGCAAATGTTTAGTGAGCACTATCTACCAAATGACTTGTTAGAGGTTTTTGCAAATATTACCCCACTTAATCATCACAAAATCAAGGTAAATATTGTAAACTTCTCTAAGAGATGAAAATACTGAGGTTAAAATCAAGTGATAACCCAGAATCACATAGCTAACAACTGGCAGAGCAAGATTTCAGCTTGGATTGATCTCACTCTGAAGCTCTTTTCACTATATTATACTACCTGTAATGTATAATTAGATATAAGTTTTTCTTAAGAAATTAAGAGAGACCGGGTGTGGTGACTCACGCCTGTAATTCCAGCACTTTGGGAGGCTGAGGCTGGAAGATCATTTGAGGTCAGGAGTTTGAAACCAGCCTGGCCAA